TGTGGTTTTGTGATGCCCCCAAAGTCCACAACAACTACATTTATGAACGTTTGGTTGTCTTGCACTGTTGTTTTCTTAGAAGTTCTTAATTTTTTTTTTCCTTGGTCTTCCTGTTGGCCTCAATGTGTTTGACACACCAACATGTATGTCCTCATCAGCTTTTCTCCATTGATATTTTCCTGGGAGCATTTAGATGGGACCTTCGTAGGCCATCCTATACCTATAACAAATAAAAATTAGACATAAAAACATAAAATATAAATACTATTAAGCATACGAAGCAGTGAATACAAACCTAATAACATAATAAGGGGGTGCTCCTTGAACCTGGTAAATGCAGTCGCATGGATGCATGGTAAACCAGTTACTTGCCATATTCTACAAATACATGTTTTAAGTTCTATGTCAACTTCATGTCTACCATTGCTGCCTTCAACCTCAGCTCGATGAGGTGCATATTCCCTTACAAGGAAGTGTCCTTGTGGTTATATTTCTAATGTACTCTTCAGCATATGTAACTAATTCTCCTTTCCAAGCAGCCACATTTCTCTTCCTCTGAGCTATTTGTTGCACGATTATGGCTATAATCATGTCAATCAAGTCAACTGCATGCTTATCGGGCTTCTCCAATCCAAGAATTAAAGTATTCAAACATCTTATTTGTGCTAGAATTATTTTTTATCTCTACATTAAACCCACTTCCATACCATGTATAAGGCAACGCAAGTAAATAGGAGTGCACTTATTGAGAGACACTACAAAGTTCATCCATCTTACTATCAAACTCAGTTTGAGTGTACGCATTAGCTGCTAACCATACGACTATCGTCGCAATGCAAATACTTTATCAAATTCTTTTAAAGATGATGTAAATAAATTCAATGTTTTGCATTTGAAAATTTGGGATGCTTCTCTCGTAAGTAGGAAAAAATATTTCATACGGATACCGTATGTAGAGATTTATGCAATGTTCGATCTACACCGTCGATCATCGCAAAAATGTATTTCAGTGTAGGGGTGTAAACGAACCGAACACGAACGAACAAAGCTTGTGTTCGTGTTCTGTTCGTTTAAAATTTAGTTTGTTTGAAATAAGCTCGTGTTCGTTTCTTAACGAACGAGCCGAACACGAACCGAACACGAGCTGTTCGCGAACGACGAGCCAGTTTGACATCCCTAATATTAATATATAAAAATAATATTATATATTAATTATATAACTTATATTATATAAATATACAATATCTATATTAGTATATTACTACTATAGTATATTAATATATTATTATTATTATTTTATTATATATTATAATTTATAAAATTTAATGTTTTAAAATATAATAAATTTTTTATATATAATTATTTTATATTATTTTATATTTCAAACAATAACGATTCGAACACGAACGAACGCATCACTGTTCGTGTTTGATTCGTTTAACCAACCGAACGAAAAAATTTTTTTTGTGTTTGTCTCGTTTACTTATCGAACGAATCGAACACGAACTCGTTGACGAACCGAACACGAACTGTTCGCGAACAACGAGCTTTTTTGACAGCCCTATTTCAGTGTCTCAGCTCCAACTTTTTTTTTTTTCTTAAGTAATTATTTATATAAAACTCTCTAATAAAATTAAAATATAAAAAAATTCAGGCGTGACAGCAGACATCACGTGCGCCGCATCAATACTGTCAGAAACCCCATGTGAAATGCACATATTTTTTGCACTCCACTAACTCCCCACCTCAGCAAAATAGCAGTATTCCTTATCGCTTTTGTCTGCCCCTCGCAGTTTTGCGGCAATTTCTTAAATCCATCCGAAATTGCCAAGCAGGAACTGTACCAAACACTGTTGATTCGCTCAGGTCCCAAATTCAATTAATAAAAGGGAAAACCCAGGTGCCCACCCTGCTGCAGGCCTATGGTTCGTTTGATTGGTGGGGATTTAAATAATCACCCAACTCCGGTGAATTGCTATTATATAGCAGGTTGATTCAGCTTCTAAGAAATTTAGAATCAGATTAATTTTGTTTGTTTAGAAAAGCTGATTTGGGGTTTTAAAAATTAATTAAAATCAAAATTTAATGAAACAAGTTATCGTGAGTGTTTTGAATTTGAACTTATCGGAGAGCTGCATTCAAGGAATAGAGCATGGAAGCGAGAGAAAGAATAGAGGAAGGAATGGTTAAATTACACGTTGTATCTATAATGAAATAGAGTTAACAAAAGAAATTTTGGGTAATATGCATCAATAAAGCCAAGAGTCAGAAAAGGGACGTGGCAGGGTATTGGGACTAGGTGGTTGTTGTATGTGGGCCTGCATACTAGTCCTGTCATATTGTTTCGTCTGTCCGGGGTGTGAGGCGGACTCTATGGTAGGAGCCATGCTAAGAGTTTGGTCGATATACCCTTTAGATGGGTCGATGATTGCCACTTGGCTTGGGGGTTCCATGTCGCCAGGCTAGTATGAATTGAGTGAAAAAATACGGAGTCGGGGGTTACTTTTGGTCGATATACCCTTTAGATGGGTCGATGATTGTCACTTGGCTTGGGGGTTCTATGTCGCCAGGCTAGTATGAATTGAGTGAAAAAATGCGGAGTCGGGGGTTACTCCTGGCGGATCGTGGCCTGCCACGTCATTTTATTTATTATTCGTGGGATCTCTTTGAGATTTGTGCTGACATATTTTAGATGCACATATTGAGCTCTCCGATTCTCCTATTCCTTAATAACGACAGCTGTGATAAGAACAAATGAATCTTATATTATGAAAAGTTGATTGTATTCATGATTATTAATTATGCAATAATTGAGTTTTCCCTTGAATTCTCTGTCTAGGTCTTTATAAATGGCGAGGAAGGGAAGGAGAAACATATCTTTATCTCTTTCGAATTCCTTTGTGAGGTTCATTTAATTTTTCACCCGTGACCATGGCGAGTGATTATCTTGCTAGATCAGTTAACTTTAGCGACGACCCTAAAAAGAAGGTATTTCAGGCCATGAAGTGGCTCGTCGGAGCCCTTATTGAAGGTGAGCGTCACAAAAAGTTGCCTGCGAAAAGGGGGAGCCATCTAATCCCAAAGATCAAATGAGATCATCAGATTCTCTGTAAGACTGCCTCGACGAGAGGGGGCAGGCGAAAGTAGATGTTCGTCGAGTGGGTGAATGCTAGGTGGCGAAAAAGGATTGCTTGAAGGAGAGATTAGCCCACCTCCACTAGCATAAGGGATGAGGCAAGAATCCGCCGCTGTGTTGTTATTGTAGGAGGAGATGGGGGGAACAATCCAAAAGGTTGCTCATGATCTTCCTCTAGTTGGTGTTTTCGAGGGAACCGTCCCTCTTCCACTAGCTAAATAAGGGATCAACGAGGGAGATTATTCTCTTACCACTTCAAACCTGGATAGGATGATGGGTAATAGATGCACTTCTTGATTGCCAATATTCTTTTTTTTTTGTTTTAGAACGTGTGATTCATTGTCTTCTTTATATTAGGTTCTTGGCGACTGCTACACCATCACCTACAGAGCGTGGTGCTATCCAGATTAGCATGTCCGTTGATCGGGAATCTGCTGAGAGTTCTCAACATCCGAATAACCCACCGAGGAGCAGCTCAAACCGTCCAGTAGAGACCTAGACTGAAACAACTAACGTACATGAGTCATTGACATGATGATACATCGACTGCATGAGATAAAGGATTCTTTGATTCAGGAGGCCAATCTCTTTTAGCCCTATGCGCGAGTTTAGAGAAGCTGGAGGAAGAGGTGTTAGTGGTCAACATTCGGAAAGCCTCTCTTCGTAAGGAGGTGGAGCATTCTAGAGTCCCTCTTTCAACCCACTTGACTATCATGGCTCCTAAGTATTCCTCCAAGCTTTTAATATCTGCAAAATAGATTGAAGGTATTCAGAGATCATATGTTTTCGGATCCTCAGACATTCTCCGACCGACTAAAAACACCTAGAAGACGACAGACAATTTTTGGGGAGAACTTATTTGTGTATTTGGATCAGTTCAAATTTTGATTGAGGTTCTCATTCTGCCATGAGCTCTGTACTATATTCAATTCTTATGACTTTATCCTAACACGAGTGGCACCGAATTCCATCGTCATCCTTATGCATCCTTATGATGTTCGTAGTTTTCCTCCGCGGCTGGATATCACATGGTTGGTCTACCTTTTTTCATACTTCTTTAGGTTTAAAGTAGATAGGGACAAATACATGATCTTCTCGTCGAGCCCCTACCCATGGGTTTTTGGGGTCAAAAAGCAAGGTGAAATATGAGTGATCAAAGCTCATGGTCGCCTCCAATCATAATGAACTTCCCAATGTCCATCCTCTTCAGAGCCCTCTTTTTTGGTCATGCTTGATTGGAAAAGCGAAGAAAGAAAGAAAATACTAGAAATGGATAAAAACTAAGAAAAAACAAAAATTATGGCTACAAAGATATTTATATTAAAAAAT